TTTTAAGTAATATGCATCAATAAACAGTATTTCATGCATAAAAGGTGATTTTTAAAAGTTTTTTTTCCAAATGTTTTATAATATATTATAGATATTATACATAATAAAAGTAAATAAAACATGAAACATAGGGAAAATGAATCGATGATAAAAGAGGGTTGAAAATGTGAAGGCTTTGGTTGACTTTTTGATTTTAAAGTCAACTGAATAAATAATTGTAGATTTTGAAAGCATTAAATGTGAAGGCTTAAATTTTGTCATTGACTTTGGCCATTCCTTTTATCTTCAATCCAATTCAAATAAATAATTTTTTTAAATAAATAACTCAAAAGTATTGCACCATTAAAAACATCTATGCATATTATTAACATATAAGATCTTATATTTGTCGAGAATGTGTAACATTTCAGGCCAACCGTATCAGATATTGTCCTCCTTGTTCACATCTGAACTTGTGATTTTAAAACAGTCTGCTAGATTAGGTATTCAGTCTCTTATAAGACAACATTTATTTCCTTCCTCAACCGATGTAGGATCTTACAGTTCACCCCCCTTGGGTGCCCAGTGTCCTGTAGGCGTATGAGTCCAGTTCCTGACTCTGATACCATATGTAATATCCTAAGCTAACCGTACTAGAATGTCCGCTTCATCGACACTTGAACTCACTTTTTAAAATACGTCTGATAGATGAGGTATCCAGTTTTTTTTATTTATTTATCAAACAACGTTTGTTTCCCTCCTCAATTGATGTGAGATCTTACGGTATGGTTGGATCACCAACAATTACTAATTGATTTCTCAACCTTGCCAAAACTGGCGGTGTTCTTCTATGTGAATTCACATACATACTAAAACAACATTTTCATACTTATTATAATTCTCGTATCTTAAAAAATTAGCACGTTAAATAGTTTAATATGCATATCACCTTTCAAAATATTTATCAAGGATGATGTCTGATTGGTTTTGGTCAAAAGTGTCTGAAAATACCAGATTCAAATCCAAGGAGGAATAAAAATCCGCTTGTGACCACAGAGGTTCAAATATGGTGACTCCAGGCTACCCGCAAAGCAGATGGTCGTCTTGAGATTAGTTGGTTCGCAACAGGTTGGATATCCAGGTTAATAAAAAAAATACATAAACTTGTATCTCATTTTAATAACGTGCATGAAACTTAATTACATATGGTCGTTGTCTTGTTATCTTAAGTATCCTCTTAATCATTGAGATTATCCTACAATATCTATTAACTCGTGTTAATTAACTGTACGCATTCATATTAAAAGACTTGACTTTCTTATCAATCCGTCAATTCTCATTATTTATACGTTTGCAGTGCCAAAAAACTTTCATCTATCTGCTCGTCATGAAATTATTCATGATAGATCTTAATTCAAACACGTATAAGTATTCATGACATCAGAATATCGTAAACCATAACTGAATTAATTAAATTAAATTACTGAAATCAACCTAATGTAACATATTATATTGCATGTAACTAAATGATTTATGTCACCACGGTAATTTGTAAAGTTGTTATAAAAAGGGTACATTTATCTTATAAAATTTACCTGTTATTTTATAGATATTTTATCAGATATTAATTACAAATTCCGTACAAGCATTATTTCTTTAGTATTTCATCAAATTTACTATTTTTACTGTATCCCCAATATCAGATATATCAAAATCTTACAAAATTATTTTAACAATCTTCAAAATCATCCAATAATACATCTCACATAATATTAGTTGCTTTATCCAAATTTTCAGTATTTGAAAATTTGATAAACCTTTAAAAAAATGCTTGCATATTTCAAATAACTCTTAAACCAAGATGTTTTCTTATTTGCTGTGAAGGTTCGTTTTTTTTCTTACCTTCACAACGTTTTGCTGTGAAGTTTTAAATATAAAAAAGTGGTCTCACGAGTCTCGCAAAAACATGTTGGTCTCACGTGAACTCAACCCTATATATATATATATATATATATATATATATATATATATATGGAAGGGTTCAAACGAGAACACCTTTATTTTACGAGAACGCGTGAACATCATTTTACTATAGACAATCACATGTGATACTATTATTCCATCACATACGATACACATGTGATAGTAAATCAGAAACATGTGCGATTTTCGGCACAATCTTGGTTGCGGGCCAAGTCGACCTTACACCACTAAGCCCCCCACATGTATTATCACATGTGATAAGGGTGTTTGTTGATATAATACTATAATCCATCAAGACCATCACATGTGATGCTAAATCTTAGATGCAGACAACCTTTGGCGCGGCCTAAATCGTTGAACACGTCTTCCGCATACCACCAGATCCCCCCACACGTATTATCACATTTGATAAGGGTGTTCTCGCATTCTCGTAAAATGAATGTATTCTCGTTTGAATCTCCACCTATATATATATATATACATATGGGTGATAGAAGGTGTGTTGTGTTCTCTAGGATGATGTTATTTTGCATTAAAAAATAAACCAATAGAAAAGTTTTATTAACAAGTATTAAAATAAGGATTGAATTGTGAGTAGAAAATAAAAGCATTATTATCTTATTGACATTTTTATACCATATAAATTAAATTATTGCATAAGTCTGTAAATTTATTATAATATTGATTTTCGTGTCATCAATTTCAAAATCCATTAATGTGTGATTTCTAGAACTATTCAGTTATCATAATCGTTGCTCAGGTGTTATATGTGGTTGAATACTTGAATTTGATAGATGTGTTTGATATTGATTTCTAACATTTTAATTAGTTTGAACAAAAAATCAACAAAAACAGTTATTATAATACGGTCCCTTAATTTCGACTAAAAACAATAATACAGATCGGTTGTACGAAAATAAATTTAGCTATGCATCATATAAACGTCTAACGTTGATTAAAGTATGCAACCAAGTAGTGGTTAATGTTTTCCTTTAACTAAAAAAGACGGTAGATAACATTGTTTTACGTATAAATCGCCCCCGCATGGTCAATACATGCCCCATGGGGGCGATCCTTGTGGTCATTTTTGTGTAAAAAGAATGAAAAATGTCTATTTTGTTAATACAATATGTATAAATTGACTATTTTGGTGAAAACTTTCTATTTTGTTAATACAATATGTAAAAAGAATGAAAAATGTCTATTTTATTGTTTTCGTTCCTGGCAATCCATTACAACTAAGTATGAGAGACACAAATAACAATAAATTATAAATTAGGGGGACAACAGAATTGTAAACTATATAGACGAAAAAGCAACAAATTGTATACCATATAAATGAAAACCATAATTTCAAAAGTACAAGAACAAAAACAACAGTTTTCAACAACCCAATACAGTGACTAAAAAACCAGTTTAGTCATAAAACATTGATCCCATCTGAAATATCTAAATGCCACATAATTCTTTGACATATCCTTTTTTTGTGCATACAGTATCCGAACATTTCCAATCTTACTCCCTACAATTAAGATAACGTAAGGAATGAAATGCTTTGAAATAAGCATGAAAAGCAAAATAATACATTGTTACTCCAATCATGCTACCTACATTAACAGATGTATTTCAGTTTAATAAAAAAGATTACTATTTAATTAATACAAAATAAAATTATCAAACATTACTTTTAGAAAACACAATTATATACAATTAATATTTCATAATAAAAAATAAAAAAAATATATACATAACATTTGTGTAAGAGGAGAAAAATACACTTTCTTTAAAAAAAATCATATCCCAACTAGAAACCATCATATTTAACACAAAGACTTGAATTGGTGATCGGTTTTTATATTTTAATATTGTAATTTAACTGATTGTAAAAAATTTCATGACACATATGTTTAATTTGAAGGTGGTATCTGTTATAAGATGTTTAAGTTTAGTCTGGTTTAGTAGTTATAAGTTATACATCATACAATCTGATAGTATGTTAACATGTATTGATTATCGGATTTAATTTCATTATTGAAAAATCAAAAAAAAAGGTTTAAATTAATATTTTATTTAATATATAGTTTTTTTAAGAATATAATATTAATATACGATAAATAAAATAAATAAATTAATACATTCTTCTCACCTTTGATGAGATCTGAACTTTTGAGTTATTAAGAAGTCAATGACTCAAATACCGCTAAGAAAAAGACCCTTTGATATTTAATATATAGTTCCAAGTTGTTATTTTTAAAATATTTTGTATTGATGAGAAGGAGGACTTTGATGGTCAACTACTTGACACTAAAGAAATCAATTTTGATTGAAATTAAAGGAGAGGGAAGAATTCAACAAATCTTCAACTCCATTAAATCATTAAAAAAAAATTGATAAGATTAAACACTTTTACTTAATTTGTTGGGTAAGATTTTAATTTATTAAAACATTTTTCGTAGTATTTTTATCTGGTAAACTCTGTCGGAATAAGAGTTGTCGCTTTCACTTGTCAGATAAGACTCTTGGTCCTTGTCATTGCTCTTACCGAAAAAGATGCTTAATCATAATCATGTTCATCCAATAGAATAAAATAACTCGATAAGTAATTACCGAATAAACATTTAGTAAACAGCCCCTAAGTCTTGCCACTGTCGGAAAATAGCTTAATCGATTTGTTGGTTATCACTGGTGGTGCTCATGAGTTGGGTTGATCGGGTTGGAGACATTTGTACAACCCAATTCAATGTTTGCGGTTTGAAAAATCTTAACCCAAACCAAAGTGCAACCCAACCTAACTCAAACCGTACATGTTAGTCGGTTGATACTTTGGTATATTAAAATATTCTTCTAACTTTGAATATGTTTATATTATTTATCTACTTATAATTGCATTTTCATCATCAACCATTTGATACAACTTATTCATACTTCTTACATATATCATATTCAATTCATTTTCTCAATTTACATATATATTGTAACAACTCGTTCCACGTGGATAGAAAGTGAGAATTGTTAGCTCCTTATAAATCTCAAGTAGTGGGTTACCACTAATTTCCACCATTGTTTAAAGTTGGATTCGAAATTATTGAGCTAGTCCGTTGCTTTGGGCTTTAGGGGTGTTACATATATATTCACAGTTACTAAACATATATATGAATGAGTTATATAGATATGTGAATAGATTGAAAATATGTGTATATGAAGAACGTACGTAATAGTGTAATTGTCTAATGTATATATTAATAGAAATACAACAATCATATTAAATCCAATAAATAAAATGACATCGGGTTCAATTGGGTTCAAATAATAGTAACTCAATACCTACGGTTTGAAAATTTTATAACTCGATTAGACATGATCAAGTTGCTTCAGGTTGAGTTATTTCGTGTTAGGTTAGATTGGATTGATCGAGTTTTTGAAATCACCACAAAGTGTGCTTGCAACTGATGTGTAACATTTTAATACATTAATGAAATTGAGGATGTTAAAAGCTTTAGAAGGTGGTATAATTTGATATGCCATAGTTTCACTCTTTTAACCTAAACAAGTGTGATCGTGTAACTTTCTAGAAGATTACTGGGAGGAAAACTTTGACTTCCAAGATTCTGGCATGACACGTTCACACGTTTTTCTCTTCCTAAAAAAATACCAATAAAAACACTCAAATTATATTCAATATTTCACTTCTGCATCTACCTCTCTTTATATATTCAGTTTTCATTCTCAAATCTCGATTTTGTTCCCTACCCATCAACCGTACAAGAAACTTCCACGTCGTTTCACACACCTTCTATGTGTTATATATATATATATATATATATATGTATATACATGCATTCCTACCTCCTTATAAATAGAAAAGAGCCATTGATATTGAAACCACATAAGCATCTCTCTCTCTCTCTCTCTCTCTCTCTCTCTGTGTGATCTGTGAGAAATGAAGAATATGAAATCAAGCTCCATTTTGGTACTTGGGTTTCTTTTGTTTATGCTTATTTTCTCTCATCCATCAACAACCCAAGCTCAAGAAGTTGGTAATTCCCTGAACTTCATTTATGTGTGTGTGTGTATATGTGTATGTATGTATATATAAACTTTACAATGACCTGATTTTTGAAGCCAACCGAAGTTTTTGAATCAAAGTGCATGTATTTTCTTAATCTCAGATTGTAAAAAGTGAAATGAAGTGAATGATGATGGTTTTGTGTATTGCAGAGGATGAAAGAGAGTTCGATTACGCAAGAGGTAGTCATATGGGACCGGAGAAATGGGGTGCCATAAAGAAAGAATGGTCGTTATGCAGCAACGGGACGATGCAGTCTCCCATCGATATGTCGAGTCGCAGGGTGGCCATGGTCGCCACTTCCACCAAGCTCTACAGAAACTACAAGCCTCGTAATGCCACCATCAATAATAGAGGCCATGACATTATGGTAATCATATATATATATATATATATATATATATATATATATCACTTCCATATTTCAAAAAATCAACAAAAATCCGATGGAGCAGATATCCTAATAATTGCAAGGCCACTTTTTGGTAGATAGCTATGCGTGTGGGTCATCCATCCAAGTGGTTCAACTTTCGGTTTTTATGGTGTCTTTTCGAGAAATACCAATTTACTTGTTATTGAAATGTTTTTTAACGGCTTCTTTTTTGAAATTTTAATAAAAATGTGTCTTTGTGGTTTTTCTTTAACTACTGGTTGACGTTTTTTAATGAGTTTGGTTCTTAAATAAATCAACTATACGGGTCTCTAAATAAATCAATCACATAAACCTAACTTATTATAAAAATAGAGTCATAATATTTCAATAATATATATATATATATATATATATAGTCATAATATTTCAATAATATATTAATGTTTCTTGCTGTCTTGGGGTGGGGGCGGCTCTTGGCATGTTTCAATGTATTATTGGCATTTTTAATAATTCATGTTAAATTTATAACGGATTTAATGTTGCAGCTTCAATGGGAAGGTGACGCTGGATCAATTCGAATCAGTGGTACCAATTATGCTTTAAAACAAGCACATTGGCATTCGCCTTCCGAGCATACCATCAATGGCAGAAGGTATATTTTTGTTAGATATATTAAGAAAACTCAACTCATAACCACAAGGGTAGTGTCTGATTGGTTTAAGCTTGGCTCCAAAGATTAAAAGTACCGGGAGGTCCCATGTTCAAATCCAAAGAGGAATAAAAATCCCCTTGTGTCCATGGAGGTTAAAAAATGCAGTGACTCTAGGCCATCTGCAAAACAGGTGGTCGCCCTGAGATTAGTCGGCTCGCATAGTGGGTTGGATATCCAGGTTAATCAAAAAAAAAAAAAAAACTCAACTTGTTCAAACAGTGTACACTACTAGAAAACAAGGTATCAACGACGGAAAAAATCTGTTGTTGATCCACACCCCTTTGCGACGGATCAACAAAGAAATTTTCCCTCACTGATGCTCTTTATTTTTGTAGTGGTGAATGATTTATGGGTTTTGACTCTGATAAAATTTGAGATTTTTATATCAAGAAATAAACTTGTATCTTTGTTAATTAAAACCAACATATATTCATTTTGTTCACTCCTTTCTTGTCATATGAAAATTACAGATATATTTTCTGTTAAATTTTTAATAAAAAATAAAAAATATATTTAATTTAATAATTAAATATTTATATTAAATTACTTATTAAATATTTATATTAAATTAGGTATGACATGGAATTACATATGGTCCACGTCAGCATCGACTACAAAATAGCTGTCATTGCTGTTCTTTACAATATTGGCAAACCTGACTCTTTTCTTTCTAAGGTAACACATTGGCACCCTCAACTTCTATTTTTTCATTTTAGCCCTCTAATTCATTTTTCGTTTATTTTTAATACACATTTTCGATCAAAAGTTGTATATGTGTTCACTAGCAACCGAGAACAATGATTTCGTTATATTATAGTTTTACATTTTGTATATGCAGTTAGCCGTAAATATATCGTCTATGATAGATGAAAAGGGTGAGCACGGACATAGCGGTATAATAAGTCCAAAAGAGATTCAAATGAGCAGCAGGAGGTATTACCGATACGTTGGTTCACTCACTGTTCCTCCTTGCACCGAAGGAGTTGTTTGGACCATTAGCCGAAAGGTAAAAAGGGTACATTCGTAATCTATATAAAAACTCATTTTTTCCATATACTGACTAAGGGTTTTAATTCTTGTATAGATAAGAACTGTTTCAAAAGGTCAAGTTAAATTGCTTCGAGAGGCTGTACATGATGTAAGTGTCAAAGAAACCAAGTAAATTCTATCTTCTTTATAGTAAGATCAAATAGAGGCCTAACTATTAATCGATATTTGTATTGCAGTATGCAGCAAATAATGCAAGACCGGTACAGCCACACAACGAACGAGACACCTTTTTTTACGGTCCAGACACGAGACAATAAATAAGAGATTAATTGATATATACTTTGTTTGTAATACAACAAAATCCATCTTTAAATTATGTTAAATATATATATTTTTTATTTCTTTGTCTTATAATTGTCATCTATTTATATTTTATGACCATTAAAATACGAAAATAATAAAATTTTGACTTTCTTGCAAAGTTACATGAAATAAGTCTCATTTAAGTCCTTAATTTTATTTGACTTATCTACCTTTGATCAATCTATTTCCAATAATTTAATAAAAAATACTGATAATGCCTTCATCGGTAGGGGTGTAAGCAAACCGAACGAACACGAACAGAGGCTTGTTCATGTTCGTTCGTTTAACCTAACTGCACAAACGAACAAACACGAACAGTAAACGAACGAAATCTTTTGTCCGTGTTCATTCGTTTAGAAATCAGGTGTGTTTGTGTTCGTTTTTGTTCGTTCATTAACATGTTAAACGAATATAAATGAACGAACATAAACGAACGGGCTAAACGAACATAATCGATGAAAATGTAAAAATTTCGAATAAGACAAAATGATGATAAAATTAAATATAAATAAATTCTAAAAAGTTAAAACTTAAATAAATATTATTTTAATTCAAATTAAATAAATATAAGATTATATATTAATTTTTTTTTATTAACCTGGATATCCAACCCGCTATGCGAGCCGATTAATCTCAGGGCGACAACCTGCTATGCAGATAGCCCGAAGTCACCGTATTTGAACCTCTGTGGCCACAAGGGGATTTTTATTTCTCCTTGGATTTTAACGTGAAACCTCCTGGTACTTTTAACCTTTGGAGCCAAGCTCAAATCAATCAGGCTCCACCCTTATGGTTTAATTAAATTTAATATATAAACGAATGTAAACGAACGTTCACGAACATAGATGGATAAACGAGACTCTTGTTCATATTCATTCATTTAACTAAACGGAAAATAAAAAAAACTGTTCATGTTCGTTCATTTATTAAATAAACGAACTTCCCATCGAACGGTACGTTGAATGTTCGGTTCGTTTACAACCCTATTCATGAGTCCACCCGTCGAGATTAAGAACTTTGTAATTTAACCAATCTAATAAAAAATATATTAAAAAATGATAAATAAAAAAGATAAAATGTAAGATATTGGAAATTCGTTAATTGGATCCGACATAAAGCATCTAATCTTGAAAGTGAACTCCCACATGCAAATTATTCTCCTAAAACATGCTTTCAAACATTAATTACCACGCATATTTGGTTCCCAAATTCATAAATCTTTAACCCAATCATGGATCATCCATACAAAATTAATTTCCCCACTTAAACACATTTTCATATAAAAAAATCATCTTAAAACACTAATAATAAGATGTAATTTCAACTCGAAAGCAGTTATAAAGTGTTCACAAATAAAAACTTGGGATTATATGAGATTAGACTGTTTTTATGAGACCAATGAAATTACATAAATAACAGTAAAACACTATGAAGACAAATCTTCACAAGATTTTTGCTGTGAAGTTTTAATTTTTTTTGTACTTTAATAATATTTTACTGTATAGTTTCAATGTTATTTTGTGATCTCACGAAAACAGACTCTGTATCATGTGAACTTAGCTTTACCAATAAAAGCTTATTTATAATAATATCTTACATCTAAATATATTTATTTACCCGTTAATAATCTTTACAGTAAAATCTAATTATGACCAACAATTCTTTTTTAATTTATTCTTGATTAAAATATATCTAATCAATAGTTTAATACACAAATAATTTTATTAAAATACATTATCAAATTATATACTAGTTGTGTATCCGCGCAATGCATCGGGAGCCGTGAATTTTAACGATTTTGAAGTTTCCTAGTTTTATTATAGAAGATTTGACGATGATATAAGTTACACTTGGTCTTTACATATTAATACAATTTGAATAAATAAAAGTTATGGTTCCAATTACAGTATATCGATGAAAAAAATTGTATAACAGTTTAAAATCCAACATATCTAAACGACTCCACAAATGTGTTCGATTTACATCAATAGCAAAGAATCAAGAGATCAAGAGCGAGACCGAGAGTTCTAGAGCAATTAGATGAGAGAACTTTTAGTAACTCATGGTGAATATCGGTTTGAATCTCACCTTGGGGGATGGGAAGAAGACGTAGAGGTATGAGAGGGTGAAAACATAAGTGAAATGTGTCAAAAATATATTGGGAACATGAAAAGAAAATGTAATAATGCACATTGCTAACTTGTACTATATGTTATTTTAATTGTACATTAAAAGATTTTAAGACTAAATGCATAAAGTAGTAGTACTTAATACATTATAAGTTGTTTTTAAGTCTTTGTGCATAAAAATGTATAATACTTTATGCATTAAAAACTATTTTTAAGACTTTTAATTAATCTGATTTATAAGATAGTATAGATAAATCAAAAGAAATATACCACATTTGAAGAAAATAACAAGGGCTTGCTAATTGCTAGTACCTATGAGGCTATGATTCTTTCCTTGGTTGTATCAACACAACTAAAGTTACTTGTCTGCTGCCACTCCTTAATTATCATATATACACACCATACCAACCCACATCATCTTCCATAAACCACCACCATCGACCACCACTCAACCACCCAAAGTTCGTCTTCCTCCTCCTCTGTAGTAGCCACACAATGGTCATTGATTCCATAATCGGGTGGCTACTGCTTTTACTTGTTGTTTTGCATCCAATTTCAGTGGTTAAGGCTCAAGAAGTTGGTAAGTCTTAATTCATTTGTATGTAACAAAAGAAATGACGATTGTAAGTTTAACGTTATAAATGTGTGTGTTTTTAGAGGATGAGCGAGAGTTCGACTACGCGAGGGGGAGCGAGAAAGGACCCGAGAAGTGGGGAACACTACACAAAGAATGGTCCCTTTGTAACAAGGGCAAAATGCAGTCTCCAATCGACTTGTCAAATAGCCGAGTTGATATCGTTCAGAAATCAAACAAGCTGTCCCGAAATTACAAGCCAACCACCGCGATATTAATCAACCGTGGCCATGATATAGCGGTGAGACATCTATTCTATGGTGCAACCACTTCATACGTATGCATACATATATAATTTTTATGAGCGTGTTTGAAATTAAAAATGATCAAAAATTCAGATATTTTCCAAACGCTTCTTATTTAACTCTAATTTTCTCATCATACATCATCTTGTCTGATATGGGTATGGACCATTCCTATATTTTTTATATAAATTATAATTGTAATTACCAATAAATAAATTATAAATTATAATTGTAATTACCAATAAATAAATTATAAATTATAATTGTAATTACCAATAAGTATTGACAGCTGGACGGACACCTTTTATTGTTATTATTTAATATAAATTATTAAATGTAGCCGTTACGCAAGCAGCTGTTAAACACGAGGACTTCTAGAAAGATGTTATTATTTTGATTTTTGACTTATACTGGGCGGTAAAATAAGAGTAACAGAATACGATAATAAGAAAATGGTTGAGTACAAAACGAAATAGTAAAATACGAAAATGGTCGAATTACGTGTAAAATTGCATGTGATTCATACGACTTTAGTCAAGACCTAAGGCGCAGGCCACGTCACCAGATACCCTTGCGCTAACTATTAATGCAAAATTACATGTAGGTTCACTGGGAGGGCAATGCGGGTTCGATCGATATAAATGGGACGTCTTACTCACTTCAACAAGCCCATTGGCACTCACCATCCGAGCATACCATCAATGGCAGAAGGTAAATGGCTTCGTCTGTATATTGTCAATTATCAGTTTGGTATGTGTTTTGACCATTCAGTATTATTATTCTTGATCAAACTCATTGGAATTTTGACCTTACAGGTACTCGTTGGAGCTACACATGGTTCATAAGACCACAGACCCAACCTCCAAACACCAGATCGCGGTCATAGCAGTGCTCTACAAAATTGGAAAACCCAACCCTTTTCTCTCCAAGGTAGAAAGTTTATGTACATATATTTTTCGGATGTTTTAATGTCGAGTCTTGATTTAGGTCGGTCTCAAATTTATGGTACGTACCATGATGAATTCAAATACAAAAAACTAACGTCATATAATCAAAACCAATGAGCCAGTTGCACACTGATATTTGATTTGACGGAAATTTCAGTTGGTCTCAAATATAACGTCGTTAGTGAAACAAGAAAACGAGCACAGACACCCAGGAGTGATCGATCCTAGAGAAATTCATATGAGCTGCAGACGGTATTACAGCTACATCGGCTCACTCACCGTGCCTCCATGTACTCAAAATGTCATTTGGACCATTAGCAAGAAGGTATAATACGACTCTCTTTCAGCGTTGTATTTATTTGTGATAATAGACGCTAACTTTTTTCGAAATTTACTTTCCAGGTGAGATCTGTGTCACTCGATCAAGTTAAATTGCTTCGAAAAGCTGTTCATGATGTAAGTGTGACATATATATTGAGTGAGAAATCGGATTTTATAACACAAAAAATGAATTAATTTTCTAATTACTCTACTCGTAAATTTGATTGTAGCATGCCCATAAAAATTCAAGACCACTGCAACGAGACCATCTTCGAGACATCCAACTGATCGTTCCAAAGAAACGCAACTAATTCAGAGTATTCTATACCTTAATCAATTATAAGATAACCATCAAACACGATAACGATTGTAATTGCATCGTTATGACGATGTATCGAAATATAATATATTTTTGTCTTTTCCATGTCGTGATTTGTACGAAATTACTTTTTAAGACATTATTGATTGATTAAATAAACAATGATAGTTGGTATGTGTTTAAGAAATGGAGTTGGTAAAATAACTTTTAAATTTAAAAATTTGAAGTCGGTGGTACCGTTCTTATCGGTTCTTCTCTAATTTAAATTAATTTATGAAAACGAGCGATCTCAAACATCATTCACACTGACCCAGCAAGTCGCGACTGTAAGTCTCGTTCCCAACCCTGATATAAATCTTTCAGTGCCACGAGCTTATATGTAGACAACGTAATTCGAATTCGAGTTGATTTTATCATCTGCAACCGTGATATCGATTTTTCGAACAATATCATCCAAACATTTTTTTATTCGATTATTTGGAGGAAAAAAAACGACCCACAACTTAAAACAACATTAACATTGAACACAACCCATAAATCTTTACAAAAACATCAAGGACGAAATGGGGAATTCACAATCCAATATCATCAACAAACCACAAGCCGTCAACAAGTCAACGGTCACATAAACGAACGAAATTTTTTTAAAATTTAATTTTTATTTTTCGAAAATTCAATTTTATCAAATTTAGGCACTTGATGGCAAATGGTCGTGAGTTTGGTTAATGAAGAGCAACTCATAGATAAGCCCAGCAATACCACCACCAACCAAAGGCCCGACCCAATAGATCCAGTGGTTAGCCCATGTCCAGCTCACCAAAGCCGGCCCAAATGATACGGCCGGGTTCATGGATGCTCCGGTGAATGCTCCTCCGGCCAAGATATTTGCTCCGACGATAAAACCAATAGCAATCGGTGCAATTGTTCCCAAATCACCCTTCTTGGGATCAACGGCGGTGGCGTAGACGGTGTAGACGAGTCCGAATGTCATTACGATCTCGAAGACCAAAGCGTTGGTAACCCCAACTCCGGCGGACAACGAAAACGCTCCGACGGCCTGCAAAACAAATTTACATCAATGGCCGAGAAGTAGATTATTTATGGATCATGTTCAGAAATTTCATTTTATTTTACACTTTGATTTGTTTTGATCTTGAATTCTCACCATGTTATTAGTGACGAATTTGAGTAGTAAGCAAGCGACGGTGGATCCAAGCAACTGAGCGATCACGTAAACAATACCACGGAGTAAAGTGATGTTACCGCCGACAAAGGCGCCGAACGTGACGGCGGGGTTGACATGGCCACCGGAGATATTGGCAGCAATGGAGACAGCGACGAAAAGAGCAAAAGCATGAGCAAGAGAAGCCGCTACGAGGCCAGCTGGAGTGGTGGCGCCGTCGGTCGTGAGCTTGCTGAAAGCCATGCCGGAGCCTGAACCGGCGAAGACGAAGATGAGGGTGGAGATGAACTCGGCTAAGCCGGCTTTAAGAGTGTCCGGGTGTGTAAGCTCATCGTGGCGGCCAACGGCGATTGCTCGGATCGGCATGGTGAAGATTGATCGGACTGAAGTGAGAGGAGAGTGGGCGGAGGCGGGTTTAGACTGTTTTCCCCTCGAATGCAATGGAGCTGCTTTTATACATGGTTTTGTGTTTATGTTTTCCCGGCTATAGCCGGTATTCCGGTTATAATGTCACTTCAATTATTTTAATTAAAATTTAGATTTTTTATAATAATTTTTTATGGAAAAATTTTAAATACTCCCTCCATTTTCCCACGTATATAATTTGAATTCCAAATATATTTTTGTAATTTATTACCTATTTTTGAAAAAAAAAATCATACAATATAGAATAATAATTACGATAAATAGAAAATTTACAAGCAAGTGATTAGACTAAAATGAAAGGGAAAGTTGCAACGTGTAAAAGGTGTAGCTCACTACAATCATGAAAAACACATAAAATCCCAACTTAAAAAATATATGATTATTGTAATTAAAATTGGAAATTAATTAGTTTTATAGCATTTTTATAGACTGTTTTTTCAAATATTTTTTGGACTAAATAAAGGGTTGTTTGTCAGTTGTTGAATGTTTGATGCAGAATGATTAAGTAGTCAGAATGATTAAGAGACTTTCATGATATAGTGCAAAATAAAATATAATTGTTTGATAATTGTTTACAATGAAATCAGGGCGCTTAATGGTTAAGGAAGACTCATGATATAAAAGCATTCAAAGGGTTTTGAAACCATTAAGAGACAAACTTTTTTTTGTCAAACAAGATTCATCTTTTAATGATTCAGATTATACCTCTTAATTGAACTATTAAAAGGTAAACAAACAACCCCTAAGATAAAATTTAATGGAGCCAAAGAGTCCATGCTCCAATGATATTTGGATCATCGTTGATATCAATCTTCTTGAAGGTAAAGGGTTTAAGTTTAGGACAAATTTAAGAATGATAGAGGGGGGCCTTATTAGCAGTGAATCCAGGATTTTAGCTGAGCATTTGAGCGGATGCGTTTTTAAGGTGGATCAAAGACCCACAAAGTCGTCCCAAATGTTATAAGCTTGATTCCATTGTTTATTTTATAATATCTACGAGCAGCACCACCCTAAAGGAAAAGTTTTGTGAGGGCATGTTTCATACCATCAAATAAATTCAACTATCAAAAATAAGTTTCCTGGTGAATGGGACTTTGCTCGTGCCTTCATAGGTTTGTGCATCTGTTATTGCTCTTCGTGTTGAACTAGTGGAAGTACTTTTAGAAATTTTATAGGTGCATTCGTAATAATTCGATGCATGACATAAAGTTGTTACAGTCTATTGATAATGCCATTACACGTGACATTATAAGTTTAAACCTTTCGACTCTTTTCTATTTTATTTTTTTTGCAATAGTAGCAAAAAAATATTGCAAAATTTATCGAAACAATGGGTTTTTGTTTCTGCTTTTATACCTCAATCACCACCCATGAGGAATTGTCAATCGTTTCCTTCAATTTGTATTTTCAGAGCATGTTATTTGTTTGCAGTTTACTTATTTGCCTTTTTAATTGATTTTATTTCACTACTGATTTGTCTTATTTACAGTAAACTTTAGGTTTACTATAAGTGATTTGATATCATTATGAATTTGCCCTAAGTTCTAGATTTGTTCTAATTATGATATGTCCTAATAGTGTTGATCTTATTTTCTCAAACCTCATATTTAACAGTAGAAGTCCGAAATGCACAAGAAAAATAAAAACCCTAGAAAAAAAAAAAGTAAAGGACAATCAACCAAAAAAAGTCTACTGTGGCAGTAGAATTCGGCTAAAAACACATTAAACATAAGACGTGGTCTTATATCTTTTCAAAAGATCAAAGTCGAACCCGTTTTGAAAAAAGTTGATCTTATTCTTTAAATCGTCAAAATTAACTTTTCCCATGATCAATTAACTATTAAGAAGCAGTTCTTGAATCGTTAAGAGATAAATCTTGTTTGGTAAAAAAAAAGTCTATCTCTTAATGGTTCATAAAACTCTCTGAATGATTTTGTATCATGAGTTTGCCTTAACCGTTCAGCACCGTAAGTCCATTGTAAAACAATTACCGAATAATTATATTTCATTTTGCACTATATCATGAGGGTCTTTTAATCATTCTAACCACTTAATCATTATGTACCAAACCATTCAACAACTATCAAACAAACCATAAACCGTAGTCGACTAGTCGTAAATATAAATATCATATAATTCCAAAAGTAATGTGCAGGAAAGGGAGTCTACTTTGGACGAATGAATAGGAGCCACCCTGTCAATCCAGCGAATCAATGGATAAACCAAAAGGGACATGCCACGTTATGGATATGATATATTCAATCACGCTACCCCCGCCCAAATTCTACTTCAAAATTTAAATCGTGAAATATTTGAAAATTAATTTATCATGTATTATTTTATATGATTTTTTTTCTATTTAAATATGTTTTATAATGTGTTTTTTATATGTTGTCGATTTATAATGTGAGACTTTTTGGCATGTTTATGAAACAAAAATATAAATGTAAGAAATTATCATATTATGAACCCGAATTCATATAAAACAAACATATTGTGAAACAAATATATGTTATTCAATATATTAAATACAAGGTTCTAAATAGTATAAAGCGTGGCGTGACGGTCAGGTCAAGTCTTAAGCCGTAAAAGACACGACGAAGGTCACGGTGTTTTTAAGGCATGACTTATGACGACAAATTTATATATCATATATAGTATTATATATATATATATATATATATATATATATAAACATTTGTTTTCTACTATTACTCAATGAGTTAATGATACTAAGCACTTTAAATCAAGTTAAATATATTAAAAACAAAAAAGAAGACACTAACAACGTAAGAAAAATCAAATATGGTGTTACAAAAATCACGCACCGGACATGGCGTGCCACAAGAATAACATGACGTTAGACACAAATATTTGACCACAGCTTGCCACGATGGCTGTTGCGATGAGCTTTTTAAACACTGATTAAATATTTAACAACATAACCATTTTTTGAAGATTTCTTACAATATAACCACTTGGATTGCCCCTTGGGGGCGATTTGACTATATGGGATACAAAAATCAGATATTATACCTGAAATCTGGGATCGCTCCCATCTATCCCCTAGATCTCCCCCCCCCGGGGGGGGGGGGGGGGGCCCCCCTAAAATCAACTCAACGACTATGATTTTCAATTATCAAAGATTCTTATCTATTATGATCGTATTTGAAACTAAAATGGTTTATATTGTTTTCAAATTTTATTTTATTTAATTAAATTATATTACAGCCTGTCATAAATAAATTGAGAAGTGAAAAAAATAGTCTTCGTGAGCTAGTCTTAAATACCAATTATGCCTGATAAAAGTTTCTATTTATCGCAAATAAATGACAATATGAACTCATTTATATTTATTTGGTATATGAAAATGAGAGGTGTATGTGTATTCGTAAAACCAATCTTTTTTAAAAAGATTCAAATGATATCGTATACAACAATTTATCTAGTAATCATATTAACCGAGTAAGGGTAGTCATCTTCATTTACTGGGTAAGAAATTCAGCCTTTGTCATCGCACTTACCTCGTATGATTTTTGGTCTTTGTCATATTCAACGGGTAGGTAAACGAACTAGGTAAACATTTACTGTGTATGCGCTTAGTAAACAGCATCTTAATTATTTGCATATTCTAATCCACAATTGATCGTTTATTTACAGTTTATTATAATTAAAATTATGAAAATACAAAAATATAGATTAAATACTTTTTTTTATGTAAATACATATTAAAATTAAGTTGCAGAAATAATAATATTATTATTAGACAATATTATCCTCAATCATTCTTATATGGATTAGATAATGAGGAAAAGGAATAAAGGCAATGTGAAGAAAGCAGTTATAATTAATCCATCTCATAAATTTCCCAATTAGTGCTTCCAATGTGCATGATTGATTGATTAATTAATTCTATTAAATTAACTCTGAGTAATTTGTCTCCTTTTGAACCTTGGAAATGAAAATTATATATATATATATATATATATATATATGAGAGCGATCAAATGCAAACCACTCAATTTGTACAAACCGTGCAAATCGCATTCAACCAATCATAATTTTTCATTTTGTTCATTTTTTTGTAATTATGAGAGGTTGATTAATCATTTTTATTGTGGAGGGTGTTAATCATAGATATTATCATCTTCATTATTTTAATTTTAGAGAAATACATGAAACAATTTCATTAATTTTAGAGAAATACATGAAACAATTTCATTAAGTATTATATGAAACAATTTCACAACCATATATGAAACAACTTCATCAAAAAAAATATTATATGAAACAATTTCACAAGATTAAACAATTTCATGAAAAAAATTTCATAAGATTAAACAATAAAATCGACAGATGAAGGTGGTTTGCACGGTTTACACAAATGAGGATGGTTTTCATATGATCACTCCTCTCTCTCTCTCTCTCTCTCTCTATATATATATATATATATATATATATACAGAGAGAGAGAGATTGTTTCAAATGCAATTAATCACATTTATACAACCAATACAACCCAATGAATTGAAATATTTATGGAAATGATGAGAGTTCATTTATTATGATTTAAATATTTATGAAAGATGAATAAGATTCATTAATTATGATCAATACTTTATATTGACATTCAATTAGATTTGATCCAAGAATGGAGATTTCTTATTACATTTCATATCATAATTTTTATTCTCACTAGAACCCAACCTTACATACACACACACACACACACACACACATATATATATATATATATATATATATATCATTAATGTTTTTTATTATTAATTAATAAGTCAATGAAAATAAATAAATATTAAAAAATATAAATAAATATCATGTTACAAAAGCGATATGTGATGAAGACTACCATGACAAACTTTTTACATTCATGATATGGATATGGATATTTTGGTAATTAAAACTAAGTCTAATTAATATTTTATGTGTCAAACAAAACCACTAACTTAATACAAAAAGCAA